ACAAAATCTGACTGCATGTTTCTGCATTCATTTCCCATTATTAACATATTAATGGCATGTGAAATAAAACCTGTTTTTTTTACATTATTTGAGACCCAGTGATGCAATGACTGGGTCTTTATGCCTCTTTCTGCAATTCAGGCAGATCATGGCTGGTGAGAGGGGCCATACATTTCTTCCTGAAAACACCAGACTGCACTATGTGCTGCCCACATGTGATGATGAGCCTTCATGATAGAAACTGAAATCCAATGAATGAAAGGGACAGGCTGGGGAGGAAAGGGCTAGATGATGGGGTATGTCCTCCAGCATTATCTAGACAAAACTGACAGTATAAGGGCTTGTTGACACTTGCTTCAAAATGTAGCACTGGATACTCATTTTTAAAGCGCTCTGAATGCCGATCAAAGCAACTGTCACTAAATAAAATGGTTACCTTATAGTCCTGTTTACACATTGTCTTTGCTTTAACAATGATATCCCGTTTCACCTTTTGGTGCTTCATAAAGTCTCCAAGGCCACCATAGAAGTTTATGACAAAGTTTTTGCTAGCAACACCTGCAGCTTCTAAAAGGCTTTTATTCAGCTTTAGCTTTGCTTTGTTTTGGAGGTTTTGCAGGTATTAGATATCCCAGGAAGCACTGGGAAACCAACAAGCCGAAAGACGTCATCAGCAGTCATTTTCTGTTTCATGTGAGAAAGAGAAACTAGCAATGTCAGTGTGGTGCGCAGAGTGGGAGCAATATAGAGGAAGATGAGTGGGGACCATAGAGAGAAAGGAGGATCAGCAAACCAGAGGATCAGCAGAGCTGGGGATTACTACTGAGCAGGGATCAGCAGAGCTGGGGGTTACTACTGAGCGGGGGATCAGCAGAGTTGGGGGTACTACTGAGCGGGGGATCATCAGAGCTGGGGGTTACTACTGAGCAGGGGATCAGCAGAGCAGGGGGTTACAACTGAGCAGGGGATCAGCAGAGTTTGGGGTTACTACTGAGCAGGGGATCAGCAGAATTGGGGGTACTACTGAGCAGGGGCTCAGCAGAGCTGGGGGTTACTACTGAGCAGGGGAGCAGCAGAGCTGGGGGTTACTACTGAGCAGGAGATCAGCAGAGCTGGGGGTACTACTGAACAGGGGATAAGCAAAGCTGGGGGTTACTACTGAGTAGGGGATCAGCAGAGCTGGGGATTACTACTGAGCAGAGGATCAGCAGAGCTGGGGGTTACTACTAAGGGGGGATAAAATGAGCTGGGGGTTACTACTGAGCAGAGGATCAACAAAGCTGGGGGTTACTACTGAGCAGGGGATCAGCAGAGCTGGGGGGTTACTACTGAGCACGGGATCAGCAGAGCTGGGGGTTACTACTGAGCAGGGGATCAGCAGAGCTGGGGGTTACTACTGAGCAGGGGATCAGCAGAGCTGGGGGTTACTACTGAGCAGGAGTTTAGCAGAGTTGGGGGTACTACTGAACAGGGGATCAGCAAAGCTGGGGGTTACTACTGAGTAGGGGATCAGCAGAGCTGGGGGTTACTACTGAGTGGGGGATAAAATGAGCTGGGGGTTACTACTGAGCAGGGGATCAACAAAGCTGGGGATTACTACTGAGCAGGGGATCAGCAGAGCTGGGGTTTTACTACTGAGCAGGGGATCAGCAGAGCTGGGGGTTACTACTGAGTAGAAAATCAGCAAAACTGGGGATACTACTGAGTGGGGCATCGGCAGAGCTGGGGGTACTACTGAGCAGGGGATCTGCTTAATGAGGATACTAATGAGCTGGGGATCTGCTGAGCGAGGGCTCTAATGAGCTGGGGATCTGCTGAATGAGGATACTAATAAGCTGGGAATCTTTGAATGAGGGTACCAATGAGCTGAGTATCCACTGAACAAGGGTACTAATGAACTGCGGATCTGCTGAGTGGGGTACTACTGGGCTCCTTTAAAACAAAAAGAAAATCAATACAAACACAGGACATTTGGAAAGCTTCATGAAAGCTTCAAAAAAAGCATCACCAAAGCAACAAAAACACATACAAAATGCATGTTGAAGCAGTGGGCACTTTAATGTGTGCTGAAATCGTAGCGAGTGTAAACGAGCCCTTAAGACACACCTTCAAAAGCAAAGCGATAGAACTCATTCGCCAAGTCCTGGACTATGTTGCTGGTGGGACTCTCTTTGCTCAAGTCCTGCAGTCTGACCATGAAATCCGAAACAATGTCGTTGATGCTCCCGGCGTAGCTCTTGGCTTCAGACGGCTTCAGCATCCTCTTGTTCAGGATGGTGCGCAGGCGTGCCATTTGTGCCCTTCCCTAGATACAATGAGACTTGTAAATATTACGATTCTATGCTGTTATCCTTCCAAAAGCATTCCATTTGATTCTGATCCAATTATGAATTATGAAAGCCTTGTACAATCTGATTGCAGCATGTTTGGCCGGGTTAATAATGGATAGACACCTAAATCCACCACAAAATTTCCTGACTTGGGTAACACAGCAAGGAAAAAAGTAAAAACGATGATAAAAGCTCCCAGGATCAGGGCCCTCCTATCCCTCTTGTATTGAACTGTATTGTTGCTGTATTGTCTTCCGTTATATTTGTAAAGCGAGCAAACTGTTGGCGCTATATAAATCCTGTATAATAATAATAATATAAATCCTGTATAATAATAATAATAAATATATAAATCCTGTATAATAATAATAATATAAATCCTGTATAATAATAATATAAATCCTGTATAATAATATAAATCCTGTATAATAATAATATATATAAATCCTGTATAATAATAATAATATAAATCCTGTATAATAATAATAATATAAATCCTGTATAATAATAATATATAAATCCTGTATAATAATAATAATATAAATCCTGTATAATAATAATAATAATAATAATAATAATAATATAAATCCTGTATTATAATAATAATAATAATAATATAAATACTGTATAATAATAATAATAATAATGATAAATATTGTAATACTTTCTTACTTTTGTAATGAGCCTGCCATTGTAGGGAGAATGCAGTTAGAATAAAATAGATGGGCACTACATTGTGTCAAAATGAATATACCAAATGAAAATGCAGTTTCTAAATCCAAAAATCCCCATATAAAGTATTTCAAACTTGGAACATGCCTCCTAGTGCATGGACCAAATGCTGTATATTTTGGGAGCCAAGTTACAATTTTGTTGTCTCTGCCAGGCCAGTAACTATCAAACCTCACCCCCAAAACATATAGTTTGGGCCACGCCCCCAGTTTGCTGCTATCCAAGCTATTCTACCTACAATGGTAAATATAATAGGTAGGCCCTACATTAAAAAAATATTATTATATTATAAGCGCATTTAGAAAAGGGAAATGTGTTTTACCAAAAATCCATATATCTGGTGCCTCAAAATAGTTGCATGCCCCCTAGTGCATGAACCCAACCTAGTAGATCCTATATAGATAATGATGTGATTACGGTTGATGTGAAGCTGCCCCTATTATGGGAAATTCCACTGAAACATGCAATTAGAATAATGGTTGGTTGTTATTATTATTATTATTATTATACAGGATTTATATTATTATTATTATACAGGATTTATATTATTATTATTATTATTATACAGGATTTTATATTATTATTATTATTATTATTATACAGGATTTATATTAATTATTATTATTATACAGGATTTATATTATTATTATTATTATACAGGATTTATGGCGCCAACAGTTTGCTCAGCACTTTACCATATAAAGGGAGACAATACAGCAACAATACAGTCCAATACAAGAGGGTTAGGAGCAGGGGCGGACTGACAACTCATGGGGCCCCCGGGCGATAGGGGATAATGGGGTCCCTGTGTCCTTGCCCAAACTCAAAAAAGCCTATGAAAAAGGTACCAGGGGCATCTCATGGGGCCCCCTACTTACCCTTCCAAATTGGTCAGTCCGCCCCTGGTTAGGAGGGCCCTGCTCCTTGGAGCTTACAATCTAAGATGGGCGCTACATTGTGCCAAAATGAATATACCAAATGAAAATGCAGTTTGTGAAACCAAAAATCCCCATATAAAGTACCTCAAACTTGGAACATGCCTCCTAGTGCATGGACCAAATCTTGTAACTCCATACAATTGCAACTAGAGATGAGCGAATCGAACCAGGCGAACCGGAATTCGAGTCGAATTTCAGGAAATATTCGATTCGCGGCGAAACCGAAATTTTGCCTACTTCGGTGCGCGAATCGAACATTTCCCGATCAGCCGGCAAAAGTGTCCCTGCAGTGAGCTCCGCTATTTCTGACAGTTCTCTGACAGAAGGAACACATGTTTAGCGGTTGAAACATTGTATCTATTAGTTTTCCATTTTAGGACTACAGATGTTTCAACCGCTGTACATTCATGTGAAGAAGCTGTGAGAGAACTGTCAGAAATAGAGGAACTCTGCACATACACTTTTTGCCGGCTTGGAATTATTCTTCTTTTCATCCTACTTCTTCTTCTTCTTCTTCTTCTTCTTCATCCTCATCCTCATCCTCTTCTTCTGAGGATGAGGAGAGTTCCTCTATTCTGCAGTTACACTTAGAGGAGCTCTGCACATACACTTAGAGGAGGCTTGCCGGCTTGGAATTAATCTTATTTTCATCCTACTTCTTCTTCTTCTTCTTCTTCTTCTTCATCCTCATCCTCATCCTCAGAAGAAGAAGAGGATGAGGATGAGGATGAGGATGAAGAAGAAGAAGAAGTAGGATGAAAATAAGGCCGGCAAAAAGTGTATGTGCAGAGCTCCTCTAAGTGTATCTCTGCAGAGCTCCTCTAAGTGTATCTGCAGAATAGAGGAACTCTGCACATACACTTTTTGCCGCCGGAAACCGCTTGTATGGAGGGAATGTCCCAGAACTGTCATAAATAGTCTATTTCTGACAGTTCTGGGACATTCACATCCATACAGCTGTTTCAACCGCTGTATGGAGGGAATGAAAGAAACTGTCAGAAATAGAAATTAAATGACAGTTCTGGGGACAGTTTTTCCATACAGCCGGTTGAAAACATTGTATCTATTTGTTTCCATGTAAATGGATCCATTTATGGAAACAAATAGATACAATGTTTCAACCGCTGTATGGAAGGACAGCCCCAGAACTGTCATTAATAGTCTATTTCTGACAGTTCTATGATGACATTCCCTCCATACAGCCGGTTGAAACAGCTGTATGGAGTGAATGCCAGAACTGTCAGAAATAGACTATTTATGACAGTTCTTCTTCATATAGGACATCTCACTCCATACAGCGGTTGAAAACATTGTAGTCAAAACATATTTTTTTCCATAAGAATTTGACATTCTGCAGATTACACTTAGAGGAGCTCTGCATGATACACTTTTTGCCGGCTTGGAATTATTTATTATTTTCATCCTACTTTTCTTCTTCTTCTTCTTGAGGATGCCTTTGATTCAGAAGAGAGTATGAAGAACCTAAGAAGTATGGATGAAAATAAGATTAATTCCAAGCCGGCAAAAAGTGTACTGCAGCGCTCCTCTAAGTGTATTTGCAGAATGTCATTATATGGAAAAAAATAGATACAATGTTTTCAACCGCTGTATGGAAAGGACAGTCCCAGAACTGTCATAAATAGTCTATTTGTGACAGTTCTGGACATTCACTCTATAACAGCTGTTTCAACCGCTGTCCTCTATGGAGGGAATGTCCATAGAACTGTCGCAGAAATAGACTATTAATCCTGACAGTTTCTGGGGACTAGTGTCCTTCCATACAGCGGTTGAAACATTGTATCTATTTGTTTCCATAAATGGATCCATTTATGGAAACAAATAGATACAATATGTTTCAACCGCTGTATGGAAGGACAGTCCCAGAACTGTCATTAATAGTCTATTTCTGACAGTTCTATGACATTCCCCTCCATACAGCGGTTGAAACAGCTGTATGGAGTGAATGTCCCAGAACTGTCAGAAATAGACTATTTATGACAGTTCTGGGACATTCACTCCATACAGCGGTTGAAACATTGTATCTATTTTTTTCCATAAATGACATTCTGCAGACTACACTTAGAGGAGCGCTGCAGATACACTTTTTTGCCGGCTTGGAATTATTAAATCTTATTTCATCCTACTTCTTCTTTTTTCTTCTTCTTTCTGAAGAGAAGAAGAGGATGAGGATGAAGAAGAAGAAGTAGGATGAAAATAAGATTAATTCAAGCCCAAGCAAAAAAAGAATGTTATCAAGCCGCTCAATCTAATGTATTGCAGAATGTCATTTATGGAAAAAAATAGATACACAATGTTTCAACCACTGCAGAAATTTCCGTATGGATGGAGGACAGTCCCAGAACTGTCATAAATAGTCTATTTCTGACAGTTCTGGGACATTCACTCCCATACAGCTGTTTCAACCGCTGTATGGAGGGAATGTCATAGAACTGTCAGAAATAGACTATTAATGACAGTTCTGGGACTGTCCTTTCCATACAGCGGTTGAAAACATTGTATGTATTATTTGTTTCCATAAATGGATCCATTTATGGAAAAAATAAATACATACAATGTTTCAAAACCGCTGTAAACATTCACTCCATACAGCGGGGTTGAAACATTGTATCTATTTTTTTTCCATTCCATAAATGACATTCTGCAGATACACTTAGAGGAGCGCTGCAGATACACTTTTTGCCGGCTTGGAATTATTCTTATTTTCATCCTACTTCTTCTTTTTCTTCTTTCATGAGGAAGAGGATGAAGAAGAAGAAGTAGGATGAAAATAAGATTAATTCCAAGCCGGCAAAAAGTGTATCTGCAGCGCTCCTCTAAGTGTATTTGCAGAATGTCATTTATGGAAAAAAATAGATACAATGTTTCAACCGCTGTATGGAAGGACAGTCCCCAGAACTGTCATAAATAGTCTATTTCTGACAGTTCTGGGACATTCACTCCATACAGCTGTTTCAAACCGCTGTATGGAGGGAATGTCATAGAACTGTCAGAAATAGACTATTAATGACAGTTCTGGGACTGTCCTTCCATACAGCGCGGTTGAAACATTGTATCTCTATTTGTTTTTCCATAAATGGATCCATTTATGGAAACAAATAGATACAATGTTTTCAACCGCTGTATGGAAGGACAGTCCCAGAACTGTCATTAATAGTCTATTTCTGACAGTTCTATGACATTCCCTCCATACAGCGGTTGAAACAGCTGTATGGAGTGAATGTCCCAGAACTGTCAGAAATAGACTATTTATGACAGTTCTGGGACATTCACTCCATACAGCGGTTTATTGAAACATTGTATCTATTTTTTTCCATAAATGACATTCTGCAGATACACTTAGAGGAGCGCTGCAGATCACTTTTTTTGCCGGCTTGGAATTATTCTTATTTTCATCCTACTTCTTCTTTTTCTTCTTATGAGGATGAGGATGAAGAAGAAGAAGTAGGATGAAAAATAAGATTAATTTACAAGCCGCAAAAAGTGTATCTGCAGCGCTCCTCTAAGTGTATTTGCAGAATGTCATTTATGGAAAAAAATAGATACAATGTTTCAACCGCTGTATGGAAGGACAGTCCCAGAACTGTCATAAAATAGTCTATTTCTGACAGTTCTGGGACATTCACTCCATACAGCTGTTTCAACCGCTGTATGGAGGGAATGTCATAGAACTGTCAGAAATAGACTATTAATGACAGTTCTGGGACTGTCCTTCCATACAGCGGTTGAAACATTGTATGTATTTGTTTCCATAAATGGATCCATTTATGGAAACAAATACATACAATGTTTCAACCGCTGTATGGAAGGACAGTCCCAGAACTGTCATTAATAGTCTATTTCTGACAGTTCCATGACATTCCCTCCATACAGCGGTTGAAACAGCTGTATGGAGTGAATGAATGTCCCAGAACTGTCAGAAATAGACTATTTTTATGACAGTTCTGGGACATTCACAACTCCATACAGCGGTTGAAAACATTGTATCTATTTTCTTTTCCATAAATGACATTCTGCAGATACACTTAGAGGAGCGCTGCAGATACACTTTTTTGCCGGCTTGGAATTATTCTTATTTTCTCCTACTTCTTCTTTTTTCTTCTTATGAGGATGAGGATGAAGAAGAAGAAGTAGGATGAAAATAAGATTAATTCCAAGCCGGCAAAAAGTGTATCTGCAGCGCTCTCTAAGTGTATTTGCAGAATGTCATTTATGGAAAAAAATAGATACAATGTTTCAACCGCTGTATGGAAGGGACAGTCCCAGAACTGTCATAAATAGTCTATTTCTGACAGTTCTTCTGACATTCACTCTCCATACAGCTGTTTCAAACCGCTGTATGGAGGGAATGTCATAGAACTGTCAGAAATAGACTATTAATGACAGTTCTGGGACTGTCCTTCCATACAGCGGTTTGAAACATTGTATGTATTTGTTTCCATAAATGGATCCATTTATGGAAACAAATACATACAATGTTTCAACCGCTGCATGGAAGGACAGTCCCAGAACTGTCATTAATAGTCTATTTCTGACAGTTCCATGACATTCCCTCCATACAGCGGTTGAAACAGCTGTATGGAGTGAATGTCCCAGAACTGTCAGAAATAGACAGAAACTGTCACAGAACTGTCTTTCATCCTTCTCCTTCTTCTCATCCTTCTCTTCTTCTTCATCTTCTCCTTCTTCTCATCCTTCTCTTCATCCTTCTTCTCTCCTTCTTCTCATCCTTCTTCTCATCCTTCTCTTCTCCTTCTTCTCTCCTTCTTCTCATCCTTCTCTCTTCTCTTCTTCTTCTTCTCATCCTTCTTCTCATCCTTCATCCTTCCTTCTCTCATCCTTCTCCTTCTCCTTCTTCTCATCATCTCCTTCTCCTTCTCCTCTTCTCATCCTTCTCCTTCCTTCTTCTTCTTCTCATCTTCCTTCCCTTCTCCATCTCTCTCATCCTTCTCCTTCTCCTTCTTCTCATCCTTCTCCTTCTCCTTCTTCTCATCCTTCTCCTTCTCCTTCTTCTCATCCTTCTCTCTCCTTCTCCTTCTTCTCATCCTTCTCCTTCTTCTTCTCCCTTCTTCTCATCCTTCTTCTCTCCTTCTTCTCATCTTCTCCTTCTTCTCATCCTCTCTCATCTTCTCATCTTCTCATTCTTCTCTCCTTCTCTTCTCCTTCTTCTCATCCTTCTCCCTTCTCATCCTTCTCCTTCTTCTTCTCATCCTTCTCCCTTCTTCTCATCCTTCTCCTTCTTCTTCTTCTCATCTTCTCTTCTCCTCTCATCCTTCTCCTTCTCCTTCTCATCCTTCTCCTTCTCCTTCTCATCTCTCTTCTCCTTCTTCTCATCCTTCTCCCTTCATCTTCTCATCCTTCTCCTTCTCCTTCTTCTCATCCTTCTCCTTCTTCTCATCCTCTCTTCTCCTTCTTCTCATCCTTCTCCTTCTCCTTCTCTCATCCTTCTCCTTCTCTCATCCTTCTCCTCTCATCCTTCTCCTTCTTCTCCCTTCTCCTTCTCTCATCCTTCTCCTTCTTCTCATCCTTCTCTTCCCTTCTCTCTCTCTTCTCTCTCCCTTCTTCTCTCCTTCTTCTTCTCTCATCCTTCTCCTCTTCTCATCCTTCTCCTTCTCCTTCTTCTCATCTCCTTCTCTCATCCTTCTCCTTCTCATCCTTCTCCTTCTCTTCTCTTCTCATCCTTCTCCTTCTCCTTCTTCTCATCCTTCTCTTTCTCCATTCTTCTCCTTCTCTTCTCCTCTCCTCTTCTCCTTCTCATCCTTCTCCTTCTTCTCATCCTTCTCCTTCTCCTTCTCTCTCTTCTCCTTCTTCTCATCCTCTCTCTTCTTCTTCCTTCTCCTCTCCTTCTTCTCATCCTTCTCCTTCTTCTCTCCTCTCCTCCTTCTTCTCATCCTCAATCTCATCCTCCTTCCTTCTTCTCATCCTTCCTCCTTCTCCTCTTCTCATCCTTCTCCTCCTCTCCTTCTCATCCTTCTTCCATCTCCTTCTCTCATCCTTCTCCTTCTCCTCTTCTCATCCTTCTTCTCCTTCTCCTTCTCATCCTTCTCCTTCTCCTTCTTCTCATTCTTTCTCCTTTTCTTCTCATCTTCTCCTTCTCCTTCTTCTTCCTCTCCTTCTCCTTCTCCGTCTTCTCATCCTTCTCCTTCTCATCCTTCCTCCTTCTTCTCATCCTTCTCCTTCTTCTCCTTCTTCTTCTCATCCTTCTCCTTCTTCTCATCCTTCTCCTTCTTCCTCATCCTTCTCCTTCTCCTTCTTCTCATTCCTTCTCCCTCTCCTTCTTCTCATCCTTCTCCTTCTTCTCATCCTTCTCCTTCTTCTCCTCATCCTTCTCTCCTTCTCCTTCTTCTCATCCTTCTCCTTCTCCTTCTTCTCATCCTTCTCCTTCTTCTCATCCTTCTCCTTCTTCTCATCCTTCTTTCTCATCCTTCTCCTTCTTCTCATCCTTCCTTCTTCTCATCCTTCTCCTTCTTCTTCTCATCCTTCTCCTTCTTCTCATCCTTCTCCTTCTCTTCTCATCATCCTTCTTCTTCTCATCCTTCTCCTTCTTCTCATCCTTCTTCCTTTCTCCTTCTCTCATCCTTCTCCTTCTCCTTCTCATCCTTCTCTTCTTTTCTTCTCATCCTTCTCCTTCTTCTCATCCTTCTCCTTCTCCTTCGTCTCATCCTTCTTCTCCTCATCCTTCTCCTTCTTCTCATCCTTCTCCTTCTCCTTCTTCTCATCCTTCTCCTTCTCCTTCTTCTCATCCTTCTCCTTCTTCTCATCCTTCTCCTTCTCCTTCTCTTTCCTCATCTCCAAGGGCATTTAAATTAAAGGTACAGTGTTCTGCACTAATTTAAAGGCTCTCTGAAGCCTAGAAACCCTTTTTATAAAGTCATCTTCGTAGCGAAGAAATTCGCATCGAATCGAATTTCACACTGGAATTCGCCGAATCAGCCGAATCGAATTTTTGAGAAATTCGCTCATCTCTAATTGCAACCAATATTAACAATATATAATATATAACAAGTGAATGGTGAAAAATGTCCATATATGATGTGACAATCTTTTGCAGCTTCTTATATCTGTTCCAAATCAAAACAGAAAACCAGGTGTGACTGTATCATCACCACGTGCTCACAAATGTATTATGTGTATTGCTCACTCCCCAGTTATGGTCAAATACGCCTTTGGTCTTATAAGGGACCACCCTCTCTCGGTATGTTTCTCCATTTCTCCCCTTTGGAAATTCGTTAATGATAGCCAAAAAGTAAAGGATCAGAATATGCCTTCCAACATGAGGCTTTATAGATGCTTTAACCCCTCGCCTACCGGGCACTTATACCCCCTTCCTGCCCAGGCCAATTTTCAGCTTTCAGCGCTGTCACACTTTGAATGACAATTGCGCAGTCATGCAACACTGTACTCATATTAAATTTTTATCATTTTTTTGAGACAGATAGAGCTTTCTTTTGGTGGTATTTAATCAGCTCTGGGTTTTTTTATTTTTTTCTAAAAAAAACAAAAACAACTGAAAATTTTGAAAAAAAAAAAAGTTTTTTCTTAGTGTTTGTTATAAAAGTTGTAAATAAGTGATTTTTCTCCTTCACTGATGTGTACTAAAGAGGCTGCAATGATGGGCACTGATAGGTGGCACTGGTAGGTGGCACTGATGGGCACAGGGGCGGACTGACAACTCATGGTGCCCCCAGGCAATAGGGGATCATGGGGCCCCTGTGTCCTTGCCCAAACTCAAAAAAGCCTATGAAAAAGGTACCAGGGGCATCTCGATGGGGCCCCCTATTGACCCCCGGGCCCTCGGGCACTGCCCGAGTTTCCAATGGTCAGTCCGCCCCTGGATGGGCATTGACAGGCATCACTGATGAGCACTGAAAGGCAGCACTCATATGACACTGATAGGAGGCACTGATAAGAGGCACTGACTGGCACTCTTAGTTGGCACTTACTGGCACTGTTAGGAAGCACTGATAGGCAGCACTGATGGGCACTGATAGGTGGCACTGATTGACAGCACTGATAGGTGGCACTGACTGGCACTGATAGGTGCCACTGTAAGGCAGCTCAGATGGGCACTGATATGTGGCATTGATGGGCACTGGTAGGCACTGATATGTGGCATTGATGGGCACTGACAGATAGCACTGCTGGGGCTACACTGATCATCAGGGCACACTGATCATTTTTTTTTCTCATCCCTTCTAACGTTCTGCTGAAACTTTGTGATTTGTTTAGTACTGCTTGGACTTTGAAGAAGGGGACATACCCCAAAAGCTTGTCCTCAAAATTGTATGTTAGTGCAAATAAAAAAAGTATCACGGACAATACTCAATTGTTTCTGTTGCAAATGCACTAATACGGCTACAATCATGTCAGGCATATTGTAACCGAGCTTTTTTGTGGCATTGGTGCAGTAAAGGCTTCTTTCTGGCACCTCCACCAAACAGCTAATTTTTGTTCAAATATCATCATATTGTACTCCTTAAAAACAACCACACTGTCTTTTTCCAGAGCAGCCTGTATATCTTTTGAGGTTGCCTGTGGGTTTTTCCTTGAATCCTGGACAATTGTTCTGTCAGTTATGTCTGCAATCTTTCTTGGTCTACCTGACCTTGGCTTGGTATCAAGAGATCCCCAAACTTCCCACTTCTTAATAGGTGATTTAACAGTACTGATTGACATATTCAAGGCTTTGGACATCTTTCTATGTCCTTTTCCATCTTTATAAAGTCCCATTACCTTGTTACGCAGGACCTTTGACAGTTCTTTTCTGCTCCCCATGGCTCAGTATCTAGTCTAGTCAGTGCTTCCACGTAAGAGCTAACAAACTCATTGGCTATTTATACACTGACACTAATTGCAATTTAAAAAGCTACAGATGTGGGACATTAACCTCTAATTGGCATTGTAACCCGTGTGTGTCACCTTGTGTGTCTGTACCAAGGCCAAACATTCCAAGGGGCAGAGACTTCTGATCCAGGGGGCGGAGACTTCTGATCCAGGGGGCAAAAACTTCTGACCCAGGCCATTTGGGTGATTTCTGTTATCATTATGATTTAAATAGGAGCCAAACAACTATTTGATAATAAATGGTTTCATATGATCATCATCCTTCAATAAAAGAGCATTTTTTGGCATGATCAGTCATATTTTCAATATCACTGCCAAAATTTCACAATTTCTGCCAGGGTGTGCAGACTTTTGAGCACAACTGCATAAGAAGCTGCAAAGATTGTCACTTCATATATGGACATTTTTCACCATTCACTTATATATATTATATATTGTTAATATTGGTTGCAATTGTATGGAGTTACCAGATTTGGTCCATGCACTAGGAGGCATGTTCCAAGTTTGAGGTACTTTATATATATATATGTCGCTGCTCAAACTCCCTCCAACCCCATTCCCCCTCACCCAGCTACCCCCTCATCACCCCTCTCCCACGGCCCCACCACTGCTTTGACCTCCACTTCCACCCCACCCTACATTCCTCATACTGAAGCTCCCCCAACACTCCGCACCTTTGACCTTACTACCATCGAGGAAGTCTCCAAGATCCTCTCTGATGCTCGCCTCACCACCTGCCCCCTCAACCCTATCCCCTCACAACTCCTATGACCTCCCTCCCCCTTCATCCTATGCTCCCTCACCCACATCTTCAATCTCTCCCTCTCCTCCGGCCGGCACTTTCCCCTCCCTCTGAAACATGCACACATCACCCCCATACTTAAAAAGCCCTCCCTGGACCCCAATGACCCGAACAACCTCAGACCCATCTCCCTGCTCCCATTTACATCTAAACTCCTCGAGCGTCTAGTCTACACCCCGCCTATGCTCTCACCTCAACGACAACAACCTCCTCGATCCCCTACAGTCCATCTTCCGTCCCCTACACTCCACCGAAACTGCCTTACTCAAACTCTCCAACGACCTGCTAACCGCCAAAGCTAATGGCCACTATTCAGTGCTCCTACTTCTTGACCTCTCTGCGGCCTTCGACACAGTCGACCACCCCCTCCTCCTCAAAAAACTACACTCCCTCGGCCTCAGAGATTCTGCTCTCTCCTGGCTCTCATCCTACCTGTCACAACGCTCTTTCAGCGTTACCTATAATGCTACCACCTCCCCCTCACTCCCCCTCTCTGTTGGGGTCCCTCAAGGCTCCGTCCTCGGACCCTTCTCTTCTCCATCTACACCTCCTCCCTTGGCCAACTCATACACTCTCACGGCTTCAACTACTACACCTCTATGCCGATGACACACAAATCTATCTCTCAACCCCCCCACCTCACCCCCTCGGTCTCCGCCCGAATCACACACCTACTGAGCGTCATATCAGATTGGATGTCTCTCCACTTCCTTAAACTGAACCTCTCCAAAACCGAGTTTCTTGTCTTCCCCCCAGCCCGGACCCCACCCCCCACTGACTTCTCCGTCACACATCCAACAATGCCACCATCAAACCCCCCGCAGGCCAGAGTACTGGGTGTCATTCTGGACTCCAACCTATCCTTCCAGCCCCAAGTCCAATCTTTAACATACTCGTGCAGACTCCACCTCCGCAACATCGCCAAAATCCGCACGTTCCTAACCCCAGAAACCACTAAACAGCTCGTCCACTCCCTCATCATATCACGACTCGACTACTGCAACTCCCTCCTCACTGGCCTGCCTCGCCGCTGGCTATCCTCGCTTCAGTTGATCCTGAATACGGCTGCCAGACTCATTCACCTTTCCAACTGCTCCGTTTCCGCCACCCCCCTCTGCCAATCCCTCCACTGGCTTCTGATTGCACAACGGATCAAATTCAAAATCCTAACACTGACGTACAAAGCCGTCCACCATACTGCCCCGAACTACATCACTGACCTAATATCCAAGTACCACCCAACACGCACACTCCGCTCCTCACAAGACCTCCTTCTCTCTAGTTCCCTGGTCTCCTCCTCCCATGCCCGCCTCCAGGACTTCTCCAGGGTGTCACCCATCCTCTGGAACTACCTGCCCCAACCCATCAGATTATCACCTACTGTCAGGGATCGCGGCTCCGTGGTCCACGATCGCGGCTCTGTCCCCCGCGCATGCGCATTGGCGGCAGATCGCGCCGGGACACAGGCACTAGGTCCCGGCGAGCCGCGGCTGACAGGACGCCGCGCCCGCAAGGTCTTTCTGTGATTCTGAGTTCCTGCACCCGTCTAGTGACCCTGATTGACCCTGACTACGCTGCCTGCCCCTGTGATTGACCCGGATTGCCCTGACTATTCTGCCTGCTCCTGTGATTGACCCAGATTGCCCTGACTATTCTGCCTGCTCCTGTGTTTGACCCGGATTGCCCTGACCATTCTACGGACTGACTTACCCTGCTGATCCTGCGTGTGACCCGACTACTCTTTGCCAACCGATTCTGTACCCCGCTTACCCTCATGGGCCCACGATCCGTTACTACCCTGCTGGGGCCGCCATCCTCTTCACATCTGGCTCTCCCGGTACCTGTCCCTGGAGGTCTCCTCAGCCACTGGTGGGTCTGCTCGGAGGTCGTGACCTGGCCCGGGACTGTTTCAAGTCCATCCCCACCATCAGGGGCCCTGGTGAAAGCACAGCCCGGGCTTAGACCCCACGCTCTGAATAGGTCTGTCAATTGGCAGCCTGAGGCACCTCCTGGCGGAGCATAACAGTACCTTGCGGCCATGACAGAGCCAGGAAGTGGACCGGCGTCCCTAGAGGATATTTGCCAGCACCTGGCAACTTTGACCCAGGCTTTCCAGAATTTCCACAGTCGCTGCGCCCGACTGGAGGACCGCATGGAGTCATTGGCTCCCCTGACTCCCCCTGCTCAGAGTCCCCCATCTGCAGAACCTCCCGCTAACCCGGTATCCGGAGCGGTTTGCCACACCCCTAGCTCCTGAACCCCGCGTTCCTCTGCCGGAACGATTCCGTGGTGACCGAAGCCGCTTCAGAGTCTTCCGAAACGCTTGCACCCTGTACTTCGACTTACAGCCCCGTACGTTCACCACCGAGACCGTCAAGGTGGGGTTTATAATCTCCCTCCTTCAGGATGAGCCCCAGGACTGGGCTCACCGTCTGATGGAGAAGCACGACCCCCATCTTGACTCCGTGACCGAGTTCTTTCAGGCCATGGCCGTTTTGTATGACGACCCTCAGCGGGCTGCTTCCGCAGAGGCTACCCTATACTCTCTGCGGCAGGGCCGCCGGGCAGCCGAAGAATACGCGTCCGATTTTAGGCGTAGCATGGGAGACACCAGATGGAACGATGCGGCCTTATGTCACCAGTTCCGCATCGGGCTGTCTGAGTCTCTCAAAGGACGAACTAGCACGAGTAGGCCTACCTGACTCCCTGGAAAAACTGATTGAATTAGCCATTCAAATTGACCGTAGACTAAGGGAACGTCGGCTGGAAAGGAGCAGCCAGGGTCAAAGGGTGGCATGGATTCCATCAAGAGACACAGCTCCAGCCCCAGGGAACCATCCGCGAAGCACGGAAACAGGGGACAACTCGGAACCCATGCAACTGGGACTGGCCCGTTCCCACTTATCGGTCGAGGAACGTCAGAGGAGACGATCACAGAACCTATGTCTGTACTGCGGGGAAGCTGGTCACCAGGTGCGCTCCTGTCCTGCAAAAACGAGTAAGTCCACTCCCGTTTCTTTTACTTTACCTGCAGGCAGGGATGATCAGTCAAGTTACCTGGCCATTCCTGTGTCTTTACAGCTCCCCGGAGGAACATTGTCGGTGACCGCAATCGTTGACTCAGGAGCCTGTAGTTGTTTTATCGATCTGACTTTTGCCCACCGGCAAAAAATCCCTCTCCAGACCAAAGAAA